AATGAGACGATGTGCAGAGCGCAATAATTGAATTGCTACCCTCAAGGGCAAGGTCACACTTACAGGTCAAATGTTCGAAATTCTACATTTTGTGTCAGTCCATAACATTTAATTCGCTGCAATGTTTTTATGATAACGTTTTTAATGATCACCATTATGACACCTTTGGCACAGCACACTTATCAAGTCACAACCCTGAAGGTCAGGGCACACCGAAATGTCCAATGTAAAAACATTTATTCATGTCATGTCAGCTCTATAACTTATTGACAATTCAAATGTTTTAAAAATTACTTGGCAAAGATGATCCCCACCATGACAGAATCTACAGAGCTCAACATCCAGGTTGCTAGGTCAAGGTAATATGTTCTCCATAACCTTTTGACTTTATTGAAAATTTTAAATACCTTGGCACATATAATCACCATCGTGAGACTTTTTGCTTATGATATGCATGACACAACATCAAGGTCATGGTCGGGTAAAAGGGTAAGAAGTACCCATTCATGTTCACTGCGGAAGGGGTTTTAGCTGTCCTTCAGACTGCCTTGCTATTTTTTGTGTCCTGTTTTACTTAAAAAACACCATTGGTCAATTACCTTTCACATCCTTTTCTTCTGCTGCGTTTTTGGTAATTCGTACAACTATATGGATTTTGGATTTGTATGGAAATGAATTACTACTTTTTTACATTCTGCTTCCTTGATTACGAATATTTGATATTAAGCGCTATGTTCTCCATGTGATAAGCCTTTCACAGCAAAGGTGGTGCGATTACAGACGAAAAGTTTTAAGTTTGATAAACACTGTTTAGCGTAATTGCACTAAAATGAATTTGTATTCAAGTATTCAAACAGAGATATTGTCCAACAAAAACGTAAAGGAATTTTATTACATATGAAATCGAGGTTAAGTATCATTTTGAAAAAAAAAAGTCAGACAATGTGATAATGCATTTTTAATTTTCAATTTACCTCATTTAAACTTCTATGCGATTTGACTGTGATGCCAAACAAAAAATATTGAAGTCACATAACTATACATATATTTAGATAATTTTTCAAAATTGTGTGAAGTTAACATGGGTAGTGGGTAGTGAAATAACATACATTTCATCTGGCTCCTCGTAACATATGCATGTGAACGTCACACTTTTTGTCACTTCACAATATCAAGAAACATCGATGAGACTGGTATATGTAAAAGTTACTTAAATTACGCTTTTTATAATTTTACGTGGTTAACTATGTCGTGGAACTAAAACGTCTAAGTTGATTGATATTGTAAACTAGCTGGAAAACAAACAACCGGTCACTTGTCAACTATTTGACACTTACCACATTGCCAATCCACTTATTCAAAGGAAGTGTACTATACAAATTGTGTTATATTATGTTATATAGGGGGTCATAAAATTTCATTTTTATCACCCTGTTGTTTCAATCTAAATTACTGATGAAAAAGTCGTCTAATGATACGATACCTTAAACAGAGGACTTTTATATGCGCTTTTTGTCATTGAATTATTAGTCCCTCATATTTTCGTATATCTGTCACGTTTTAAGTATTTAAGTACTTACCATTTCAATCATCTGAAGATTACTGTTTTCTGGAACATAACTTGAAATCACGTCATCGATATTGCATTTTGCCCTACTCCTACTCAGAATGAGCATGCGCGAAACGCAACATCCTTTACTGTGCAAAAGTCGTAGTGTAAAAAGGTCTATACAGACACTTATTTTCTATTATTATCTATGAGATTTATTTACAAACGAATTCTATTGTTCTTATTTTCTTACAAGATCAGGCGTGGGCAAGCTGTTTGCAAATAATACTTAATTTTAGGGAAGAACCATTTAATTGTATTAAGTTACAATATCCAATCAAAATGTTGAAAGTTTGTCAAGATCTTATTATCATATATTTCTAAATAAGTTACGAAAAAAAAACATTGACTAGGTCGCAAATATAAAATTGTATTCGCCGATAAAAGGCGGTAAAATTGTGTAATAATTCAGTACCATATACTGTATGAAAAAGAAAACCTTTATTTTGGACGTTACCGCGAAGGACAATCCATGTACATCGGCGTTTACTTACCATATAAAAAAGGCTTGGATCACATTATCAGCTTATTTTCAAATTTCTATGTCACCAGAAGTTTAGTCCATGTCACTTGCCTACCGAAAATCGAAATTACACGGTATAATATGCATTGTATCAGAGTCGACAAAAAGCAAAAATCACGCTCAAAAGGGTGGTCAAGCAATCATTTCGAAAAGAAAGCAATTTCGTTGCAATAATTTTGATGAGCGATATTAAAGAGTAATGTCTTCGCAGCCGTATGCGGCTATTCCTTTTTTCAGTCATGTCAGTTCGGTAAAATTAAAAACAATGACCAGTTGGAAATCCTGTTTTCGCCATTTATTGCACAAATAATGCGTTGCTTTTTGCCCGAATCGTGCGTTATTTTCACATTCCGGCGTTACTGGATATACACGGTGAGATTTAAAATCTATCAAAAACAAATGCTGATCAAACGGCGGTTAGCTTCACTATTATTCACAGCAATGTTGGAATGGTTGTGCAGGAACACCCACCATACTTCTGATTAGCTCATACGTAATGGGCTTGCAACAATAAAAAAAACAAAAACCGGTCATTTACATGTACCATTTAAAGTAACCGAGGTTTTTGTGTGGGGAATTTAATATATTAAGGGAAGCCAAACATAAACTGAAATTATATGTTAATGAAAATTCTTATTAATGTTTATCATGCGATAAAACAGTTATAATATATCGAACTCGACTGTTCTATGGAATTATCATGGCCTGGAGCGGCATCTCGGGATTTTCTCTACAGAAAATGTTCTCGGCCTTACTGCCTCGAGGAAAAAACCCTCTATGTCGCCCAGGCCATATCATTTCCTCATTCATGCATATCAGACTGGCTTTTTCGTGAGTTTTACCCATGCCGGAAATTTCATCTGGCATGGGGGTGCCAGATGAGTCGCGTGCTGTACAATGACACGCTCAGGATGACGTCATTTTACCGTTATGAATGAAGTTGAAATTCATACGCTGTTGTAAGAAAGTAGTTATGGTTGTAATTATATAAATTTCCATTGAAATTAAAGTTAGAGAATTTAAAATATAATGGCATATGGTAGAATATGCAAGAAAAAATATCTGACATATGTTTGCGGTTTGGATGGAAATATCCGTCCCTCGGTGACCCGCCTATGGGCGGTAACTCGGCAAGCCTCGTTACCGCCCAATGGGCGGGTCACCTCGGGACAGATATTCCGATCCGAACCGCAAAATATGACAGATATTATTATTCAAGTCTCGTCGCTATACTATAACTAGATTTCCAAATATCCTAAATTTAGATATTGTAGGTTGTAATCCCTAAAAGATAAAATATCGATGTTTGGATGTAAGCTAGAATTAAGGTGGTATATATTTATATTATCCATACTATGAGTTTTCTGTAAATAACAGTATACTTACTAGCAAAGCAAAAGAAAGCAATCACTCAAAAGACCTTTGGTAGTTATTAACTTTGTCTTATACAAGTAATGCCATTGGTTTGATATGTTTATTTATTTTCATAGCATAGATACTAGATATGAGCATTTTAACACGAATATCGGACACACAAAAAAAAAAAAATTTTATCTCGTATTTTAAAAGAAATATCGCTAATTCAAAATTTAAACAAACACTCGTTTGAATATATTCATTTATCTAGTATGTTAGCAGTGGCAATAAACTAAAATAGACATAATATACAAGAAAAATGCTGAAGCGAAAAAAATCGTATTCAAAATAGTTTAATGTAGTCAGTTTTAAAATAGGTATGTACAACTCACACTTGTTTGGTAGTCGAATCGAAATAAAATAAAGGCAGAACATGTTTGCCTAAGCTTTCTTTTTCTTAATTGAACTTAATTTGTGCACATGAAGTGTGTTGATAAAAAATTGTCAAAATGATTCCATATTAACTGCTTATAACTTCGGTTCTAGTTGTAGACTGCATATTAATGGCAAGCCTAGAAGATTTTATGCTCTCTAGTGACGATGCTGGAGACGAAGAAGGGTTTATTAAACATATCCGGGAATATGACGTAAGTTTATTTTTCATGATTCATCAGTCACATTTTTTATTTTAGAGATAAGAACATATGAAATAGAGAGAAAAAAGCGACTGGTGCCAATTACAAACCATATCAACATACGTTTTTGGTATTTTATCAAAATAGTGTTTTAGTGACAATGTGTAAAACAAGTTGATCAATATCTTACTCGACATAACTTGCAATCATTAACGGATTTTAATGTTTTTTTTTTTGTTTTTTTTTAGCTCACCATGTCACAAAGAGCTTTTGTGATCGCTTTTCATCCGCGTTCGTACGTCCGTAATCTTTTAATTTAAACGACATCTCCTCATATACCGCCAAGCCAATTTCATATAAACTTCACAGGAATGTTCCTGTGGTAGTCAACTTTGAAAATTGTTCAAAGAATTTAATTTCAAGCAGAACTCTGGTTGCCATGGCATCCGAAAGAAGAAACGTAAAATATCTTTTTTTTAAAAAACCGAAAGAGATAGAGCTAAAATATTTGGCATGAAATATCATTTAGTCAGTGTCTACCACGTTTGTTCAAATAAAAGCCTTGTGTCAAAATATGCCCTGCCCCTTGGGGGGGGGAGTGGGGCATTGATTTTCCTTATTTGTAAATAGTAAAAACTTAAATAAGCTTCATTTAAAAAACCAAAAAACAAAAATAACTAGAGCTTAGATATTAAGCATAAAGCATCTTCTTGTGGGTGTCTACCAAGTTTGATCAAATAAAAGCCCAGGGGTAAAAATTGGCCCCGCCCCAGGGGGTCATTGTTTTTCCCTTTATGTATAGAGTAAAAACTTAAAAATCTTCTTCTAAAAACCCCAAAAAGGTAGAGCTAAGATATTTGGCATGAAACATCTTCGAATGGGTATCCACCAAGTTTGTTTGGGTTATAATTGGTTCCGCCCCGGGATTCATAGATTTTCCTACTTAATATGTTTATAGTAACAACTTAAAAAATCTTCTTTTAAAAAACCCAAAGAGCTATGGTTTAGATACTATGCATGAAATATCTCCTAGTGAGTGTCTACCAAGTTTGTTCAAATAAAAGCCCTAGGGTAAAAATTGGCCTCTCCATAGGGGGGTCATTGTTTTTCCCTATATCTTCTTATAAAAACCCAAAGGAGCTAGAGCTTAGATATTTATCATAAAACATTTTCCAATGGGTGTCTACCAAGTTTGTTCAAATTAAAGCCCCTGGTTTAAAATTGGCCTTCATCAAGGGGTCTATATACAGGTGAGCGATTTCAGGGCCATCATGGCCCTCTTGGCACCATCACAATTGAGATCATATGGCAACTAACTAGCTTAACTGGTGGTGGTAGACCTCCGTGCATTTCTTCAGGCACGAATGGGCATTTGGTAGAACCACATACGAAATAATGTGTATGATTTAACATGCTTTTGCTGACATACCATTTTACTCTAAGACCTAAATTGCTTTGTAGATCTTTCGGTCCTTTATTGAAGAGTTGAATGCCGAATTAGAGACAGAGTCTTTGCGTGGTCTTAACATACTCATCAGAAAACACTTAAAGGAATGGAAAGACAAAGAACTGATTGTTGGAGTTACTGGACAAACTGGATCAGGAAAGTCTAGTCTGATCAATACACTGAGAGGATTAAAAGCAAAGGACAAGGGCGCAGCTGCTGTAGGAGTCTTCGAAACTACAACAAGCATAGAATCATACAAGTACCCGGGAAACGATTCTATAACCCTCAGAGATTTCCCAGGGGTCGGAAGAAAAAACTTTCCCAAAAAAGAGTATTTACAAAAATACAAAATTCTTGATTCAAGCGTAGTGATCATGGTTTGCTGCACGCGATTCTCTGAAAATGATTTGTGGTTAGCTAAGGAGGTAATTGCCGTTCAACGAAATGTTCTTTTCGTTCGTTCAAAAACCGATATGGATCTATATAACGCACAAGACGATGATCCAGATAACTTCAGCGAAAAAACGTGCATGGAAAAGATCAGAACAGATATTAAAGACAATTTGAAAGATTCAGATCTAGATCCACAATTTTATGATATTTTTCTAGTAAGTTCTAGACATGACAAGAAATATGACATCCTTTCCCTGCATGAAAAGATCATGGCTCTTCCCATCATGAAAGCTGAAGCCATATGTCATATTTTGTTTGAACACATGAAGAAAGTCATAGCAGATAAAACAGAGACTATCAAAACAGAATTCTTGGGAAGAAAAGTTGCGTCAGTATTTACAGGATTTTTACCAATTCCAAAACTCGAATCAACGATTGACACATACCATGTTAAGAAAATATTCGAGGAATGTGAAACAAAATATTGCGTTGATAGAGACTCTATCACTGAATTTGCTAGAGAAATAAACGTGCCGGAGAGTGAAATTGAAAGCCGATTGAAATCACGTGATGATAGAGTGAGAGATGAAAATCAATTATATACAGAAACGGAAGACAAAAAATGGGCTTTTGTACAGAAATATTCCAAGTATACATTTCCTGGCCTCGGCATGCTTTACTCCGCTTACAAGTCTCCTCGTACGATTCAAGAATGTCTAGACAAGATTTGCGATGTCATGGCCGATGACGAATTAATGTTGGTTAAACTTAGATTGAGAAAACTTGAAAAAGATCTAAAAAGTTAAAACACAAGACAAGACTTGCAATGGCTTAATTAAAGTTCATGATGAACATAAATCTAGATAACATAAAACATATTTCACAGTTTCTATTACCGCATGACCAAGGGTGTGTTGTACGTGCTTGTTAAAAGTTCATTGTAAACTAAAAAGAAAACAACCTTGATTTTGACTGGCTGACTAAAATATATTTTATACAATTATAACATAGCATGCTAGGTTTGTGACCATCATTTGTCGGCAATCGTATTCATAAAATTGTATTCGTATTTATTTGCGACAATCACTAAGGATTTATGTCATATACGGAATGTCATGTTTGGTAACTCAAGTCTTTCTCCAGGAACTGACATAGCTTGATAATCGATGTGTATATGAGATAAAACGGACACAAAGTATAAGACAGTTAATAATAAACGTGAAACTACTGTTTCACTTGGTTGTCGTTCGACAGAAATTTACTTCACTGAAACAATTCAATAGCAAAAGTTTAATGTATGCCAAAACTGTATTAATGTGAGTTATATGTTGTTGATTTGTGTATGAGTATATTTTTTACTGATAATAGATAGAGTAAATTTAAGTTTGCTTGTTTTTCATTCGAAATAATTACAATGCTTCAGAATACACCTATCCTAAGTTCACTAAGCAAAGAGTGTTTTTTTATGGAATCAATTTTATTTACACTTATCTGTGTGAAGTGTCATCAAAGAAAAAAATCGCGTTTCATACTCTAAATTAGAAACAAATCACAAAAGCAACAACAAAATATCGTTGCTACTTGAACTGTGTATTTACATGGGACATGGCGTGTGAATATTATAACATCGAAGTATACTTAAGATTCTTATTTAAGAATGTAATATAATTTGTCGTTATAATTTATTACTGTGGCATTTGGTTTCAACTGCTTATGATGTTGGTATGTTTAAGACCGCCACAACGTCATGAAATTGAAATGTTGAAGACTACTGTATTTGTATGAATAGTTAATACACTGTTCACAATACAATACAATATGAGTCAGAGAAGATTATTCCACTAGTTTATTATCTAAGATCATATCAGAAATTTATATAAATCAGTCTATATATTGTTAAACGTGTATAAAAAAGTGTGTAAAATAAATAGATATTGTATGAGTGTAGATTCAATACTGAATATATTGAACGAGTTGAATAAAATTATAAATCAAAATGTTACTTCCTTACCTACACCCAGTATAACGCAATCATGGTTAAAACATTAACGCTATCTAGTAATCATTTTAAAAATTGTGCCCAACAATTTTTGTTTGCTTTTTGAATGTAATTCAGCATCATAATATAAATTTTCTTAACATATTTACCATAATCCATCTTATCAATAACTAATAACGCATGTTAAACGTGTATTTGTTAGCGTCATTCAGACTAATTCACTGTAAACAAAGGATTCCCTAGTCTGCAATCTGTTTCACAGAAATGAAAGTGGGTATTTCAAGGCTTTTTTACTTCGGCAAAACCCAAGATTTCACATCCGTAACATATACATGTAAGTCTAAAGACAAATATTGGAGAGATACGTACAAAACAAGTGGCAATGCTTTAAATATCGATCATCATCTCGTGACTTAGCATTAGCACGTGGACGCTTAATAAACATTTCTCAAATACATGTACACATATATCTACGTTCTATCACAGAAAGGCATATTAATTACATAGACGACAGTGCTAAATGAGATCCAACGTCCTCTGACTTTATTCCATACTTTATTGACATATGATCAAGTTAGTCATGATTTATCATTAAATCAATCTTTTATCTTATAATCAAGATGTTCACTGAAATTATATGAAGAAGGTGTCCTATTTTAAAACTTGAAACAACCCAACAGAATATTCTTTATGTTTAGTTTCATGCATCTGTCATGGAACCGTCAATGTGGCGATTTTGTTTCATTGCATGGAAAGCGACGTGTCGTTCCAAAAGTAAAAGAATATTTGTGCAAAATAAAATGTAATTTCAAGAATATCAAGGGCCAAAAGATTAATTTAAAAAAAAAATTTTTTAATGGTACCAACAAATAATAGGAAATATTCAATGTTCAGGCGACCTTGTCCAACATTCACAAACCTGCAATGCCATTGTGGAAATGTATGGAACGCCAAATTTACATATGTTAAAATATTTGAAGGGGTTTTCAAATAATATTAGAAGTCTTGGTTTCAATTAGAGATACCTTAGTATAGTAGCTCGCAAAGACTTTAATAGAGGTGTCTTTAAGTAATTCAAATTTTGATATATTTGTAGCGCGTTATAAAACAATAACAGATGACTTCAAATCAATAAGGGACCTACAGAGCTCTTTAAAAGAGTTTAATTAAGATATTCCACAAGAAATTATACTAAACGGTTTTCTTTTTTTTTTATTTATTGAGATTTTTCGGGAAAAAAATCAATCGAACTATCTACATTTACAGTACAAAGAACATGTACGTGTATGAACGACTTTCTTACCTATGAAATTATGTATTCACGAGCGATGTTGTGTACACCATGTAAGTAAAATATCAGTTAGTTATCAAATGAAAGCCTAAATACAATTCAAACATTACATTTGTGTTATTCTGTATTTTACGAGAGACCATCTCTTTTGAGAACTTCTTCCATGACGGACGCTATTCCATTTCTAACCTCTACAAGAGATGGTGATAACCTGTCTAAATCATTTCCACGACTATTTAAAAGAATGTCAGGGATTTGGAATTTATTTGGTCCTTGCGTGTTTTCGGATGTGACAGTTGTTCGCTCAGATGATCCGGAGGTACTGTAAGGAAATAATTCATCCCTTTTGTCTGTAAATAAAAAACAGTCACAATAAGTCGATAGTCCATGAAGGTACTAAATCATGTATAATGAAAGTACTAAATCATGCATTATAAAAATACAAAGTACAAAATCATGTATTATGAAAGTACAAACTCATGTATTATGAAAGTATTGAATCATGCATTATGAAAGTACAAAAAAGTGCAATATGAAAGTACTAAATCATGCATTAAAACCGCAAAAATGGCATACACGTTCATGAACTTACATCAAGTATTAAATAGTTTTGAAAATCTTCTAAAATAACTATACGATAACAAAACGAAATGGAATTGAAGAATATGAAGAGAATCTAGTGTAGATTCAAGTAATGTGAAGAAAATGCAACGATATCTGCGAGACATACCTATCTGGCTGATCATCAAATAATGGAGAAGTTCGTAAACGTAGTCAACAGACAGCCTAGTCAATCTCCAGAAATGGACGAATAGCAAAAGACACAGCTTATTTATTCAACAACTCTAACCTGTTCTAATTTTCCCTAGCATTTTGCTATATCTCAATATTTGTCTTCATTAGGGTACATATTTTTGTAGAAGAAAAACTTATTTTTATAATGCTTAAACAATGTTATTTATCAATTAATGTGAGAGATATAAATTAAGATGGGCGCTAACTTCAAAGGTTACAATTATTTTTACCGTCGTCTTTGTGGTGTTCATCTTCACTATCACTACTTTCTTCTAGAAGTATCCCGCTAACTGATTGCTGCACAAAACTGCTGATTGCTGAACTACAAGGAGTACAAACATTGTCTTTTGCCAAATTTGTAGAGCAGCTTAGACGGCGTTTATCTGATATAGCAAAAGCATCAATAGTACTACCCCGGCGTGTGTCATCCGTTCGCTTTTGTCGTCCATGCAATTCTATCAGTAACGAGCTCTCCTCCAGGTATTCTATCGTCTGTAAAAGAGAATAGTTCGAGCTAAAATATTGCATATCCCTAAACAATATATATCAACATACGATAATTATCTTAAGAATTTGTATAGATATATAATGTTTTAACGCAACATGTTCTGGTAAGAAAATCCATAAAAATGAATGTTTTGCCATCATGATAAAATAGTTTTACACAATTTTGAAGTCTGTAAGAAAGTTAATATAATATATCAGTACAATTTTGACATACACTTTGCCGACGAAGATAATTTATATTTAAGTGAATTAGTCTACAATTTGCCACGAGTATTTCAAAAATTGATTTATATCACACTTGCCAGCAACATATATGATTCTTTCGTGGTTTGTTGTAATGTGTAATACTAAATACGTATTAGGTTAGTTTTATCGTATTACAAATCTTCTGTTATAAACCAATTCACTTTAAGCCGACTAATCATGGTTATCAACATAAAATACTAGTTAATAAATCATATAATGATCTAATAAGTTGTGTAGTATATAACCTTATCTGATACACTCCCTATATGATGAAGATGATCCGAGCTATATTTAGGGACCACACCACTAACTTCATCTGAGTAGACTGGGTTTTGCTCGGTGTGAAATGTATAATGGCACCACGACTGCAATAATAAACGTACATTTTGTTCTCAATAAAGATAATGCAAAGTGAAAATAACTTTTCTCAGATAAAAGCCTGTCAGGACCGTTAACTCAAACTTTATACGTAATGCTCTTGTTCCCAGAAGAAAAAGAATATAAAAAATTACACACACTCGGGTATGTAAAGTCTAACATTAACATTGGTTGTTATCAAAATCAGTTGTTTTCTAACAGAAAATCATGACATATTTTCAGCAATAAATGAGAATACTTCAGAAAAGTATACAGTAAAGATATACATATTTAATACATACCGATTTATATCTTTTCGGAATTCCGATTGAGCTATTAATCTTCACTTTGAATGCAATGTCTTGATGTAGCTAGGAAAAGTGTAGAAAATTATTACATTTTACAGTCATCAAACAGTTCCTAAGTATATGTTAACAGAAATGATCGTTTGGTATGAAAGATGTAAAAGGATGTAAAAAATTAATGCGCAATTTCGCCTAGGACTAAACAATAAATCACTTTTATGTTTAAGTCATATATTATCATTAATCTATTTTAACATGAGTTGAAAAAAAAACACAAATACATTTTCAAGATGTGGTCACCTAGATATCCCGATTGCAAAAAGGGCGTAAAATGTTTACACTTTAAAGAAAATAACTTTATAAATAAGTGTGCAACTCTACCAATTCTTTTGGATCTTCAACTGACAATTCATCTGACATTTCGTCCCCGTGTTCGGTACACGGTATAAGGGAGACACCGAGGTGACCAACAAGACGAGCCTGGTAGTCATAGATACCAATCATCTGTTCTTCTATGTCCAGCATGTAAGCCAGTGATTCCAAAGGAACAATTGCAACTCCAATCAGTGTAGGTGTATCTAGGGGTTCCCAAAATGGGTTCTGTGTCTTTTATAAAAAGACGGGACAAAATGTTAATTTTAATTATAATAAAACATTTGTTGCCTCTCTTATTCATTTATTATATCACTCTTTTACAAATGCAACTATTGTTAACAATTAAGTTTAGAAAACTTATTCTATCTAGTCAAAAGTGCGAAGTTTACGTAAGAAATTTTCAACGTTATAGTATTGTTCAGTAGAGTTTATCAACATCAAGTTTACTACAAAGACAGCGATAAGGAAAACTCTATAAAATACACTTGGCATAGGTTTTCTTAAAATCAATACAATGCTAGTAATAATATATCTGTTGTATACATAGCAGACCTTTGTTTCAGGCAGCCAATCTTGTTCACCACTCTCATATTTTCTATATATCTCCATCATTAAATCAAACCTGTCCTGGAAATGATTCTTTCCCCAAAGGAATTGTCCACCCTCAGCTGTATCTACGCGTATAAAGACCTGTAAATCAACAAAATTTCATTATATCTAAAAAATATATACGCGTCTGAATGATCTGATTTTGTGTTATGACTCCTGAAAAACAGGTACGTTTGCACTTTATTCGAAAAAAAAAAAGAAAAATCAACTTTTTCATGTTATATGTTGCGTTCTGCAAGCCAACGCAAGGGATTTGGGCGGTAACTCGCACACTTGCACTTATCACACTCTCGTCCATGAACAGGCTGTATCAATTTGAGCTTGCGCCATTTCAATTTGCTGTTCTTTTGGCATGTTTAAAGACACATTATGCCTCAGAAACGAGTATTTTGTTTTCCTTCTTTTAAAAAGGCAAAGATTAGTTTTATAGCATTTAAGCAATGGGTTTAGAGCAAGTAAGGTGCTTATTACCTGACATTGTACAAAAAAAAATCTAAACAAAGTAGTATTTTGACTTTCAGACAAAACACTAAATCACTATGATTGTTCTTTCTGACAAAAGCAACAGAAGAAAAAAAATGGTTCAAGGAAATTGCCAATGAGTAACTATTAGGAAATTATACTGGAACATCAAAATTAAAAAGCTTTTGAAAATGAAAATAAAAGCATTTCTTGTGCATAATGGGCATTAAGGTTTCCATATTATCTACATTCTTAAGAAGTTTAAACTTATTAAAAGCCAGGTACTTCCTGGTAGCTTTATCATTTGTGTATATATAACTTTTAATTGTAAACATAAAAAGATTAAGTAAATAATACTCGCCTTAGAACGTTTGGTTTTGTCTCCAAGCACCAAAGCTGGTACTATGACTGGCTCAAATGAAATACCCTGCCCAAGTTCTGTTGATATTGCATTAGCCTCATATGTCAAAATCAGTGTTTCTGCAACTTCTTCACGTAACCATTCAAGACCTTCATAAAACAATTAAATATATTTTTTATAAACAAAGTTTTAATTTCGGAAAATCCCTCAAGAGCAATGAAAACAAAAGAAATACGAGGTGTATAAAGAACGCCCAGAACGGCAAAATTGAACATTTTGCAGCTTCAGTTTCATTGAGTACTGGCGTTCGCAAGCTGACGTCCATGCCGTCTAGTATCGGCATAAGCAGAATTCAAAATTAAAACTTGAAAATGGTAAAATTTTGAATTATTTCAGAAACGTTCGCAAATGTGTTAATACGGCGATAAATAACGGAACCTTCACTGTGACAAGTTCGTCATGCAAAACTGTTGCTTTGTAACCGCATGCAACATCTATAATAAGAGAAATTCATTCACGCAGCAAGCCAACAATGAAAGAAAAACAAACCAGACACAATTTGAATGACTATAATCATACTGGACAAATAATTAAAAAATAAAATATTGCACTATTCATAATTCTGAAAGCAATACTAAAAATCACTGAAAACATAATGTTAAAACATAATTTTTTTTCTCTGTGTAACACTCAAAACTTGAATAAAAATACAAAAAAATACAAAAAAAACAAAAAACAAAAAAAAACATACTAGTAAGACTGGTGCATAAAGTTTTAAAATTTTATGATGTCCTACATCTATACATACAGGCACAGCAACATAAAATATAAAGCGAAAAAAATCCACAAGCAATATTTCAACAAAAAATGACCCCTTCTATATATATATAAAAAAAAACTTAAATACAGTGTAGAAAGGTGTTTTTTTTTTGTTGAAATATATTTTTGTTCGTTTTAAATTTCAGGTTCCTGATTGTAATACAGGTAACCAAAACATGATATGTTAATATTTGAACATACCTGATTTAACGCTGCTATGTTCTGCAATCTCATGCTGGGCCATTTCAAATGTAATCACCTTCATTACCTTGCCAGATTGTTGCAATCGTCTCTCCTCCATTGGATTGTGGAATACAAACATGTTGTTTGCACTGAAGAAAACCCTGAAATGATATAAATGTTGTTTCATGGGATACGTACATGTGCGATCGTCTTCAAATAATACAGTAACATTAGCTTTCATGTGATGTATGTATTTAAAAATCGACTTATGATAATAATAAGTTATTTCAGTATATAAATACATGGCGAGAAACAATATGTCATGAGTGAAAATTCAACAAAATAAAAGCATAATAAAAATAAAACTAATTATGACTATACAATAAAACTTTTAGACTAGTGATGAGAAGAACAACTAAAACACAGCAAAAAATAATCATTTTGAAAAACTTTATGTAAAAAATATCAAAATACCTCAAAGTTAGATATAAAATGAAAAGATGTACCAGGACATGTATTCATATATCCATGGTTACACAAAAAAGTGAGTGTGATTTCACTTGTTTCCTTTGTTGTCCAATATATCATATGAATGGGATCATATTCAAAGACTAGAATTGCTGGAATTGCCGGTAAATTTTGTGTGAATTTAAATCGTTCTAAGTTACAAATGCAAACAAAAACGGTTTGAAATAAGAAAAAAATAAAATATATATAAGTGAAGATGCCAGCTTGAATTCAATATCCCTTTGACAACTGTATAGTTATCAACCTGCTTCAAGAAAATATCGACTTCATTTACTACATCTAGTAAAAATTTTACTTACCTGTCTTGATGTGTCAGAGTAGTCTGCCCCGTAATACCAGTCCCATTTATCTTTATTTGACCATTTACTGGTTTTATTGAAATGCTGCTGATATTATTCTGTATAACGCCATGCTCCGGAACAATGCTGTAAAGCAAAAAGTAACTGGAGATCATGTAAGTTATGGGGCGATATTCAAGCAAAAATAATAATGACATTGTTTGCATTTGCTCTATATTTGACAGCATGTTCGTAGAGTAAGAGTGTAAGATCTATGTCAACTCGGATCCAAGCTCTGGCCAAGGCAAATGATCCCTACAGATGCATAGATTTAAAACATCCATTCATTGACTTTTTAAATGATTATTCATATTGCGATATTAGCGTCAGAACAGACTCTTTAACAGTTCTTCATCGATAAAAATGTTTTTAAAACCTAGCATACACCATACCCCCACCTCCGAAAAAAAAATCGACCAATGTACGGCTTTGCAATTTTTACTTATATATTGCAATGTAACTTGCATCCGAAAATGGTTCAAAATTTTAAAACAAGGTTTTCAATTAGTTACAACAATTAGATATTTTACTTTAAAATAAGTATGTTTCGACTGGTTAAATTTGAGCACACTTAATAGAAGGGAACTATACAAATATAATAAACGAGTCTAAGAACGAGCATAATGTACACTCAAATAGAAGCAATACCACATCAAGTATTCACTGACCTCGGTCCATGTAATTCTATGGTAGGTGCATTTAATGCCTTTGCGTTACCTATTGTAGTTACACATCCTGAAAGAAACACTACATGGTTATGATTGTATATTGATATAGTTCTAACGTAAATGAAGGCCAAACTGAAATGTCAAAACAAACTATATTCGCTTTAATTTGTTCGTTTTACGAGATTCGATTTTTGTGTGAATTCCTCGCCTTTATTCTAATTTGTTATATAAGTACTTAATCCTTGGTACATACTGGCATTGGCATTCATAAAAATCAGTTTTCAATCATTCGTTCGCATGCTATATATTCTTGTTGACTTATTTCATTTTATTTTCAAAAAATGAATCCATTCCAATCATTTGGCCCTGTGAATTTAAAACTTTGTTTTGAACATTCATCGCGAACTCTATGGCGAATTAATTTTTACTGTATAATTGATTATCAAAATGGTTTATGTATAAGTGTATGATAAAGAAATACTTTTAGTACCATTTGTATAAAAATAAATCATCACCTGGTTTAATAAGATGCACTATCTTCCCAGTTAGTGCAGGATCTTCGTTTAGATTCCATAGATGAGGAACGTCTGCCCTCTCTTTCGCCAGTTTTCTCTCTTTAGCAATTTGTTCCTGTAAGTGCACATACCATTTGTTTATAAAATATATATTTAACATTGCACTTTCGTGTAATATAATGTAATATAAGGAATATAATGCACGTATGAAAGGTTGCAAAATTCTGTTTCAAGTTGAAAATGTTGCAATCATAAAGTACTAGTAATGCTGATAAAAGTGCATGGCTAAATACTATATAAATTTAACAATGTCATAGAACAGCAAATTTTTATGCTGACAACAATAAAAACAAAATGAAATACTGATGTACCAGCACTTTTCGATTTTAATTTTGATTCACACGACCATTTCACAATGAAAACTAAATGTTTACTTTCAAAACTGATGCTATCTGAAGACATACGAAGCTTATTTAAATTTTAGAAGGCGTTCATGTTTTCAAGATTTCATGTTCTTGGTCATCTAAATAATAAGATAATAATTAGATAATATTTAGATAAATAATTAGATACATAATTAAACACATAATTCACATTGTCTTTGCAAGGTTATACAATTTCTATACATTCATTTGTTAATGTTCACTTTACCTCCATGAGTCTCCTAGTTTCCTTTAGTTTTGTCTGCCAAGCTTTTTCTGCATTTATCATTTCACTCTTGAGTTGTTGAATCTAAAAATACAAATTTACAGATCTTTAACTTAGTGAGGACAAATGCGATTGCATATTAAAACATTTGGTTTTTGTGTAAAACAAGACCTGTATATCTTTCATTTTAAGTTTCTTCTATTAGTTAGGAATAGGAAACTTAAGGGTGTCCAGAGAGAGAACCCACCGGTCTGTAGGTAACATAATTGACGATTTAGTTCAAGTAACCGACTTCAAAAAGTTACAGAAAAATTGTCAAACATACATACTACATTCTTTTGTTTTAAATATATATATATATGTATATCTAAAGTAGATATTCACATAGGTAAGTTTAATTTAGTATCTGCAATTAGTCGACATAAAGGGGGATCCAAAACAAACGAGCTGGAAGGTTCTTTAAGCGACTGCAATTTATTTGAGAAGAAATTGATTTAAAACTATTTAATTATGATATAAAACATAGCAATTAATGATGTATTGCCATTAAGATATTTACCTCTGACATTTGTTTTTCTTTAAGCATCTTAAGTTCTGTAAGTTAAAAAAATCGTATTATATAATTATCTTATATTGGTAGTGTTGCTTCTTCATAAATAAAGAAAGAAAATGATACATTTTAAACATTATAAAATTTAAACAATAAACTCCTAGCATTTGCACTATGTATTCTCCCGACAAAAATTTATTACATTCAATTTTATCAGTTTAGCCCCGAGGCCAGAAAATCAATAAAATATCATTATCGTACTCTGTCTAGTCTCGACTTCATTTTCTGACTCGAAAAAATCTAAAACAAAGGGGTCTATTTGAAAGACCTTGATACAAAGTTCTGTCAATGGAAAAAAGCGGTGTTGTAAAATAAAACTGTTGAGTTTATTACTGATTCTATTTGACTCTCATACAGCTGCAAAACCTATATTGGACTCGGTTAGCACATCATCCAATATGTGTGTGACAGTTGTATTTTCGCATCATATCATCATAACATACGTATCAATACATTTTCCATATGCATATTTAAAACCTATGTTAAAATACCAAAAAGACTTCATGTATAATGAAAGATATTTCACCATATACATCTATCCTTCACAAAAACTATCTTATCTTATAGTTTTACGACATAGTATCCAAACAACATCAAAAATGCCACTTTTGTGGGTAGACCAATGTTAAACAGTATATTTGCTTAATGCGTGCTATCGCATTGACCAACCTTCTTCAGTATACCCTATACTAGATCTCCGTCGTTCGTTAAGTTTATCTAGCAGTGCCTCTTTCTCTTCTAGTAGCTCTTTAATGAACTGGTCTGTTTTGGTGACATTCGCTATGATTTTATTCTTGATAGATTTGACCCTGCTGGCGTAACGTAGCGTTGATAATGTTTGTTCATAGTCTTGATCTGCAGGGCTTATGTTTGCAACCTGTATTTACATATACAAACTTTATATCCTGCTATATATACCTGAACAAGAGCCGAATATTAATTGTGATACTACTATATAAATGAGTTTAAAAAATGTTACATTTCGAACGATCAAACTAGATTCATATACTAGTACAGTACAAAAGGTATAATTAGGTATATGATAATATATATGAAAACACCAAGTCATTATATAATACTGACAACCCTGAGAAAGCATCAACAAAGTGAAAAGCCAAGACCAATATTAATGCTGAACAAATAGCTTGACTAAATATTCGTTAGGACAAAACTTAAAGGAATTAAAACACAATGTTCATTTAGGAGCACCGAGAAGCAGAGATAAGCGGACCTTGAATAGAGCTAAAGAAAACGAGCAGAGACGGGCAATTAGAAAAAAAGCACAATAACATGCAAGCAACCGTAATTGAAAATGCTACTTTTATTTCAATGATGAAATAAATATTACTTGATCAATTAACTGAATTCTTGACATACCATGACAGTTTTGCAATTTCCGCCTACAGCGTCTTTGAGAAGCATTGTAAGTTTGGAATCTCTGTATGGAGCTGATGAATACAGATATGAAATAATAATTACCTTATAATCTTATAACTAGATTTTATCAATTTATTTCAAATGTTTAGCAATGTAGCATGCTCACTAAACTAAACAATACATTATTAAACACTCTTCGCTAATCAAAGACATCGCTTATTATAAAAAAATTGAACCGTGTCACGACAAAACCAACATAATGGGTTTGCGACCAGCATGGATCCAGACGAGCCTGCGCATCCGCGCAGTCTGATCAGGATCCATGCTGTTCGCTTACCAACCCTATTACAAATAGAGAAACTGATAGCGAACAGCATGGATCCTGATCAGACTGCGCGGATGCAGAAAATAACGGCAGCACTGTGATCAGAAAATTACAGCAACATTTAGCAGATATCAGAAAATAACGGCAGCACTGTGATCAG